AACTTTCCCTTCTAATTTTTTTAAAGTAGGGAGGAACTGTTAGCTCATTTGCCTTTTGATGTTTATACATCATAGGTCAAATTCTGTTATGACAATATGTTACAACCTAAAAAAATCACATGAGGTCGGATTTTCTGGTCTATCAAAGGGCCCACTTTTGGCTATAATATCATTTATGTTGGAAGTTGTTTGAAGTCACTCAAACCAATAGCAAGTTTCCAGTGAAGCAAAGGTGTGCAGGAAGGTATATTAGACTGGAAGTCAGGAGACTGGGCTGGAACCTGATTCTCATTCTGTTATGGACATGCTGTGTGAGCTTGAGGTAATTTGCTCAATATTTCTGGGCTTCAGGTTTAACTCCTGCAAAAGAAGAGCTTTAGAGGAACTTTGTATTCTCTTTCATCCCTAGGATTTCTGACTCTTTGCGTGGTTGAAATAAATTTAGTCTGAAGATTTATATTTTGATTTCTTTCCTTCCACCCTCTCTCCCGCCATCATTTCTCCCCACTTAGTTCTTCTCTTTCCTCTCATCTCTCCATCTATCCACCCATCCATTATATTTTGATTCCCTTCTTTTTTTCCTTTTATTCTTTCTTCCCCCTTTTTATTTTTCCATTTTATTTCAATAACTTTATCTTTTTCCTATTTCTTTTCTTTTATTCTTTTTTCTTTATTTTTCCCTCTGCCCTCTTTTCAGCCTTCATCATGCTTCTCTTTCTTAAATTCTCTCAGCAGCAAATCACTCAACATTTCAACAAATTCATAAAGTAGCGGTGGTTTTATGGGCTGGTGTTAACACCTATTCTAACCAACCAGGCATTGCAAACTGATGTCAGTGCTGATAGTGTGGCTTCCAGGCCTTGCATGGAAAGTAGCCAGATCAGCACATGGCTATTATTTAATGATGCCCGGAGACTAACAGGAAGCCTTCTGCAAATTGCCTCACAAATTACACAGTGGCTCCCTGCCTTCTTTATTGGCACAAAATAGACTTGTGAAACTAGGCTTAACATCCAAATTCTTTCCCTGTTACAGGAAGCACCAAAGTTACCTTTTTAAGCATAAAAATGAAAAATAAATTTATACAGAAAATGCCACAAAGAAAGAAAATACAAATGACAGACTTGGGAAATAGAGTACAATATGAGTCAAAAGATCTAATTTTCATAATATATAAAATGCTCTTGTACATCTTTAAACATAGCTTTTAAAAAATACTTTCTCTTAATAAATGATTTCACCAAATCTCCTCCCCTTCCTGTTCTCTTAAAAATGTAGGTTATAAAGAAATGTGGGTTATTTTTCCAAGTAATGCTTTATTTAAGTATAATTCTTCAGACTGGGTCACCAATTTTTCTTCCTAACTTCCCATCCTTATTGAAATTCTCAGAATATTAGATATCACTGCCATTTTTCAAATATATGCTTTAAAACTTCATGAAACAGGAAGGAACTGGGCTACCTTTGAGATCCCTTCATGTTTCTCTTTTGCTTAGTACAATGGCAAGGTAAGATCACAAGATTTGGAGTCAAATTGAACCTGAGTTTAAACTTAGCTCTGGTATTTAGTTACTCTATGTCCAAGTTACTTACTCTCTGAGCCTCAATTTTCTCATCTGGAGAGCAGGACTAACACAGGCGTGTCTTTCACAAGGTTGTGGTGGGGCATAAATGACACAAGGCGTGTGGAGACTTAGAGCAGACACAGTAAAAGGACCAGATAAATATGTTGCTGGAACAATGATGGTGATGATGACGACAACTTAAAGTGAGAAAGTTCATCAGAACTATGCAAGAAACTCCACGTTGTATCTGCTTCATTTAGAAGGAAAAGATTAACTTTCACCTAAATGCTAAGAAAAGAGCTTTGCAATTTATTCAAGGTTTGAATATAATCCCACTGAAATCCCACTGAGTCAGTATAGTACAGAATGATATCTCATTCTGGTAAAGAGCCAAGCTTTAAAATCTTTCACCATTTTTGAATACAGTAGAATGAGGGAAACAGATGAGAAAGGAGAGTGACAGTAGTCAGAACAGTAAGGGAGGCAAATGTACATCCAGGTCCAAGTATAATTTGGCACAATATGGGTCAATATCTAATAACGTCCCAAAGATGAAAAGAGGTAATCTTGACAACCCAGTAGATGCAGGCTGAAAGAATAAGAGATTTGCAGGGAGACATAGGAGAAAATCTGGGCCATTTTCTTGGTTGACTGATGGCTCGTAGCTTTTACTCTGTAGAAAACTTGCTACAACTAGTAAATCAGCCTTTTTTTAAACTTCATCGATAAACATCTGTTAAACATTCATAACATGCCAAGACGCTGTGCAAGGGATACAGAGATATCCCCTGCCCACGAGAAGCTTAAGAATGACATTCCCATTTACAGGCAACTAAAAAGCACCAACACCCCCAACCCCTGTCCCCGACACCACCCAGAGCCCCTGCAAGCCTTGGCTTATTAGTGCTATTTTATTGACCAAGGAAACTGAAGTTCAGAGAAAATACAATTAGAAAGAGCCAAGGCTAACATTTCAACTTCATTCTGCCTAGGTTCAATTCTCAGGAGGAGAGTGACAAAAATAAAATGATTTATTTTGATTGGGTTAGTGGTAATAATGAGGATAAAAATAGGCTAGGTTTGTTTCAGCAGCAACATAAAAAAAAAAAAAAAGCCTCAAACCTTAGTGGCTGAGCACAAGTTCATTTCCCGATCATGCTCCATGTCTGTGTAGGCCAGCATAGGACCCTACAACACGGAGCCACCAAGCTCCACCTTCTGGAACCAGTGGCCTCCTCGGCTGCAGAAGCAGAGGAGAAGGGCATGGAGATCATCTGGTGTTGGCTCTTAAGGGTCACTTCCACGTGCAGCTTACTGGCCAGCCCTCATCACATGGTCTTACTCAGGGTTAGGATGAGGCTGAGAGGAGTGAAGCCCTTAGTGTGACATCCAAGGAGGCACAGGCTCTTTGGGTCATGCAAGCACAGGATTGGCACTGGTGTGACCCTGAAAGCCAGCAGCTCCTTATATTTTTCATCTTAGGAAACTTACTGATCTCACCCTTTTCCGGGTGGTGGCCCCACCTAACAGATAGGAGGCTAGGAAATGCAGTGTCTCTCATATCTGGGAGGGAGAGGTAAAGTGGATACTGGTGGAGACTAGAAATATCTAGTAACCTGGGCTTGAAACCTCAGTTTCACATGTGACGCTGCCTGCTGCTCCACTTCTCTCCTCCGCTCTTTAATTCAGGAAGTTGCCAACCTTGGGATTTTAACCAAATATAGCAAAAGCTGTATGTCAGATGCTTGCTGTGTCAGGTATTACATTATCTAGGCTTATGCTCATCAGCGCATCTATTCATTCCTCACAACAGCTCTCTGCAAAAGTTCCCATTTCTAATTCGGTTTTTAAATAAGAAAACTGAGGTTTTCAGAAATGGAATAACTTGCCCAAGTTCATTTCTATAAAGGGTAACAGTCACGATCTGGACTCATATCTAACTGTAAAGACTTTTCTCTTGCTCTTGGGAGCTTACAGTTGTGTTGTATTCCAAGTGTATTAAATGAAAGTGTGGCTACATCAGCCCAACTCATGAGATAGTTGGAGCAAAACATTGACTTGCCACTGGTTGGAAGCGTATGTAGGCATCATCTTCAGTGCCTCTGTCATTGATATTAATAAAAGATGAAGGAATTTTGTTGTTTAGTTTTGGGTTTCCACATGAAAATTCAGTGCCATCTGTTATTAACAGATGTGGAATAGAGAATGAGAGTCAAGGTGTCTTTACTAATCAGGTGTATGATTGGGGCAACTCCCTCTGTTTTGCTAGCTACCAAATAAAGGGTTGAATCAGATTTCCTAAGGTTATCTCCACTACTGACCTTACAAAATTCAGCATGGATGGCAGAGATAGGTAAGATCATAAGTATGGAAAATATTTTAGAATACACAGAAATATTCTCTAGTAAAGCTGAAAACCTTATTATCTGAAATAAAATAGAGCCTGACTGCTAATATGGATGCAAACTTCTCACAGTATTTCAACACAGAGTGTAGACTCATCCCTTAATCAGACAAAACTGTACAGTTAACTGGAGAGAGAATAGCAATTTCATATGCTAACTTGCCATGAATGAGTTTTTGTCAGTCAAAGAGCTTAAGTGTTTATTTTGGAGTTTAAACATACAGGATGAGTATGAGTGGAACTAAGTTTGATTCCCTCTGAGGACACACAGGACACTCACACATGGTTGAAATGCTGAGAGGTTGTGAAGACAAGAGACAGTAGATATTCTTGACACAGGAACTGGTGGGTGGGGAGGGGTGGGGGGAGGGGGAACTAATTCTCTTAATTAAGGAGGGGGAGCATTTTGAGGCAGTCATTAAAGATGAAGTCATATGCACTAATGCACAAAAAACTTTGCCTTTACACTTTTTGTGTGGAAACATCTGGCAAAAACATGTTGAGAAAACAGAACTTTTGTGCAGCAGGATCTTGCTGTGAAGAGATGAAAACTTAAGCTAATTACAGGATGTCTGTAAAAAGAAAGGGCTAGCTTTATATTTTAGGCCCATTTTTCTCCCTACAGGGTAGATACCTAATGTAAAAGCAGTGGTATGCTGTGGGAAATAAATATGGGGTAAGAAACAATGAATTGGATCTAATATACTGCACCATAAAGATTATTAAAATAGCTTTCAGTTTATACTTGCCTTTATAACTGTGCCAGGAGAAAACCAGACAAGTCTGAAACCTATATGATACAGACCACAAAACTGCACATTTTCTTATATGTAAAATGTTGCAGACCTTTTAATTAAAAATGAGCCAGCTATTGTCCTGTTTAGAAGTAAATAATGCAGTCTGGAATTTTTCTTCACATCTATTTTAAAACTACGATGACCTCAAACTCTTTTTGAGATCTCCTCTCTCAATGTCCTTTAGTTCCTTTTGCCTCTCTTTATAATTCTACCTTCATTCTGTTCCTTTTCCAGAGTTCTGTGATGCTTCAGCTTAAAGACCAAAATCACAAAAAAGAAGAGGGAAGTTGAGTGCAGCCTGGTCCTAATCTCAAGATTGAGGCATCCCATGTGACTCTATGAAGATTCTAATCATAGGCATTCAAGAGGCTAAGCCCAACCCTAGGCATTCAACAAGTTCTTCTGATATTAACCATTCTTAAAAGCATTAGGATTTAATCTAGCAGAGGAGTGCTTGATCCTATTACAGGCTTCTTCCTGCAGGAACAAGGTACTTAAAATCACCTGGAGAGGAAATTTCTGACAGTCTTCTCAAGATGAATGAAATGTGTTTTCCTTCTTTCCCATCTCTATAATTTGGGTGAATATTAAAAGAGATGTTTATAAAGGGGTAGGCCAGTTGTTACCTTCCTCCTAGTTGTGCAATATGACCTACACTGTCAGGTACCTGGCTGAGACAAATGGGCTCAAAGACTAGGGGACCTGGCTCCTACAACCCAGTCTTGTGGGGATCATATCCCTTACTCACGGCCCTCACAACTGCCTGCCGTTCGCTGTCCTTTATAAGCACCTCACTGTTGGAATCAGAACTGATCTGAGCCAGAAATCTCAAATCTATTTGGAGATTGTGTCACATTTACTGTTCAGTAGGGACACTCTCCCCCGCAGTGAGCCACACTTCTTACCAGGCACTTCTCCGAGACTGAGACTGTAGCATCTGCCATTTACTCCATTAACTAGCAAGTCTTATAATGTTGGTTTTCTTAAAACTGAGAATGATTTCTCCATGACTACGTGTCTATCATAAGTGGGAAAATTAAAGAGGCCAAAAAGATGATGTGACTTTTCTGACATCTTCCTATTCCCTGGGAATTTTTGGTTTGCAGTCTTGTAATGGGACTACCATCTCCATGAGGGCTATGACTGCACCTGTTTTTGCTTATCTTTGTTCCTTCTTTCAGACCCTTGCACTGATTTGGGTATCCAGTAGATGCTCAGGAACTTAAGCTATCCAGTAGAGGATTGAGTGAATCTACTCTGGCTGTGCACTGTCCTAGGTGCTTTGAATATAAATATGTATAAGACACAGTTCTTGCCATCAAAACCTGACACAGGGCTAATCTTTCCAACATGTCTTTCAGCACTTGAGCAAAACAATTTAAGTGGAAATTCCTTTTAAACCTCTGGTTTAGGGATTCTAAAGGAAATTGTGCTCCCAAATGTCTCTCCCATGAGCCAGGCAACTCATGATATGTTCTGCATTTATTAACAATAATGACAGGGACTTCTCTGGTGATCCAGTGCCTAAGACATCGAGTTCCCAGCATGAGCCCTGTGTTTGATCCTTGGTTAGGGAACTAGATCCCGCATGCCTAAGAGTTCACATGCCTTAACTAAAGATCCTACATGCCACATGTAAGACCTGGCACAGCTGAATAAATGTTAAAAACAAAAACAGGGCTTCCCTGGCAGCTCAGTGCAGGAGACATGGGTTCAATCTCTGGTCCAGGAAAAACCCATATAACGCAGAGCAAATGAGCCTGCGCGCCACAATGATTAAGGCTATGTTCTACAGTCAGGGCGGAGCAGGCACTGGCAACCCACTCCAGTGCTCTTGCCTGGAGAATCCCATGGACGGAGGGGCCTGGTAGGCTGCAGTCCATGGGGTCGCTGAGTCGGACACGACTGAGCGACTTCACTTTCACTTTTCACTTTCATGCACTGGAGAAGGCAATGGCAACCCACTCCAGTGTTCTTGCCTGGAGAATCCCAGGGATGGCGGAGCCTGGTGGGCTGCCGTCTATGGGGTCGCAGAGTCGGACACGACTGAAGCAACTTAGCAGCAGCAGCAGCTACAGTCAGGGAACTGTAACTAGTGAAGCCCGTGTGCCCTATATTCCACAAGAGAAGCCATCGCAATGAGAAGCCCACACACTGCAATGAGAGAGTAGCTCCTGCTCAACAGAACTAGAAAAAAGCTTGTGCAGCCATGAACACCCAGCATAGCCAAAACCAAGTAAATAAATGTAATTATAAAATAGACAGCCCCCTCAAAATGATTTCAGTCATGGCAAACATAACTTATGGATGCTTTCACTGTGCTTGACACTTGTACAAAGTGCCTTGCATATATTCTATAATTCTCACAATCCACCCTATATGTTAACAGTAGGTGTTATGATAATCTTATTGATAAGGAAAGTCAGGCTAAGAGAGGTTATGTGTCCCAGTCAGTATACCAACTACACAGCTGGTAAGTGGAGACAGTTGCTTTCAGCCCTGCCTGGTCGGATTTCAAAGACCAGACCTGTAACCATGCTCTGTTCTGCCTCCCACTCCTTCCTTAAGAATAAAGTAATATTTTCAAAAAAGGGAAATACATTGACAGGAATTACTTGGTATGACTCTGTCCCTTGTGGAAAACAAAACTGGGTACTTTTTTATTTGATTCTTCTAAATATTTATTGTATGGGGACCAAGTATTTTACCTGTACTTTGTTGGGGACCTGGGACTCTCCAGGGTCACACGGGGAACAAGCAGCAGACTGCGGGTCTGACTAGATCACTTTACAGTATTCTTTCTACTGTATGAGGAGGGAAGCCTCTGGGCATTTTAGGAAGAGATTTTCTGTTCCATGTTTTCATCAGGGATGGGACTCCATGGAGCATTTTTGCATCTGGTCCAGAGTAGTTTAAGGAGACCAAATTGGTGACTGGAAAAATATATGCCCATCCACGTCTCTACAAATGGTGTGATTTCATTTCCTTTTATGGTTGAGTAATATTTCATCGTATGTTTTATTTATCTATTTTCTTTACCACATTTTCTTTATCTATTCAACTGTTGATAGACTTTAGGTTGCCATGTCCTAGCTATTGTAAATAGTGCTGCAATGAATGCTGGAGTGCATGTGTCTTTTTGAATTACGGTTTTCTTAGGGTGTATGCTTAGACTCTATCAAAAAGAGTGAAGTCAGAAAGAGAAAAACAAATAGTGCATATTAATGTGTCTATGTGGAATCTAGAAAAAAGGTACAGATGAATCCATTTGCAAGATAGGAATAGAGATGTAGATGTAGGGAATGGATGTGTGGACCTGGAGAGGTGGAGGTGAGTGGGATGAACTGGGAGATTGGGACTGACGTATATACACCCCTATATATAAAATAGATAACTAATGAGCACCTACTGTATAGCACAGGGAGCTCAGCTCATTGCTCTGTTGTGACATAGATTGGTGGGATGGAGATGAGGGGTGCAAGGGAGGTCCAAGAGGGAGGGGAATATATGTGTACTTACAGCTGATTGACTTGACACTGTACAGCAGAAACTACCCCAACTTGGTTACACAACTATACCCCAGTTAGAAGGACAAAAAGTCTTTGGACCTCTCTGATGATCCAGTGGTTAAGAATCCATCTGGAAGTGCAGGGGACATGGGTTCAATCCTTGGTCTGTCAAGATCCCACATGCCAGAAAACAGCTAAGCCCATGAACCACAGCTACTGAGCTCAAGCTCGAGAGCCCACAGGCCATAACGACCGAGCTGGGATGCTGCGACTACTAAAGCCCATGTGCCAAGAGCCTGTGCCTCGTAATAAGAGAAGCTACTGCAATGAGAAGCCAGAGCATCATGACAAAGAGTAGCCCCTGCTCACTGCAACTACACAAAGTTCTCAGGCAGCAATGAAGACACAGCACAGCCAAAAATAAAGAGAAAAGAAAAATACATGACCAAAAAGGCCAAAGATGGTCTTGTCTCATCTAGGTCTGCCTTTCTTAATGGATGTAGAAACAGTCTGCCTGCCAGCCTCTCCCGCCCTCTAAACCAACAGTTCTCAATGGTGATGATTTTTGCCCCCGAGGACATGTGGCAATGTGGCGGGACATTTCTGATTGTTGTTACTGTAGCCTGTGTGTGCCACTGGAATTTCATGGGCAGAGGCTAAACATCCTACAATGCACAGAAAATCCACACAGTTTAACAGCCAGGATATCTAAATTAATCCTATAAAATATGCCGTGTAGGCCCAGACCACCTTACCTGCCTCCTGAGAAATCTGTATGCAGGTCAAGAAGCAATGGTTAGAACTGGATATGGAACAGACTGGTTCCAAATAGGGAAAGGAGTATGTCAAGGCTGTATTTTGTCACCCTGCTTATTTAATCATATGCAGAATACATCATGCAAAATGCCGGGCTGGATGAAGCACAAGCTGGAATCAAGATTGCTGGGAGAAATATCAATAACCTCAGATATGCAGATGATACCACCCTTATGGCAGAAAGCAAATAAGCACTAAAGAGTCTCTTGATGAAAGTGAAGGAGGAGAGTGAAAAAGTTGGCTTCAAACTCAACTTTCAAAAAACTAAGATCATGGCATCCAGTCTCATCACTTCATGGCAAATAGATGGGGAACCAGTGGAAACAATGAGAGACTTTATTTTTTTGGGCTCCAGAATCACTGCAAATGGTGACTGCAGCCATGAAATTAAAAGACTCTTGCTCTTTGGAAGAAAAGCTATGACCAACCTAGATAGCATATTAAAAAGCTGAGACATCACTTTGCCAACAAAAGTCCGTATAATCAAAGTTATGGTTTTCCCAATAGTCATGTATGGATGTGAGAGTTGGACTATAAAGAAAACTTAACACTGAAGAATTGATGCTTTTGAACTGTGATGTTGGAGAAGACTCTTGAGAGTCCCTTGGACAGCAAGGAGATCTAAGCAGTCCATCCTAAAAGATATCAGTCCTGAATATTCATTGGAAGGACTGATGCTGAAGCTGAAACTCTAATACTTTGGCCACCTCATGCGAAGAGTTGGTTGACTCATTGAAAAAGACCCTGATGCTGGGAAAGATTGAAGGTGGGAGGAGAAGGGGATGACAGAGGATGAGATGGTTGGATGGCATCACTGACTCGATGGACATGAGTTTGAGTAAACTCTGGGAGTTGGTGATGGACAGGGAAGTCTGGCGTGCTGCAGTCTGTGGGGTCGCAAATAGTCAGACACGACTGAGTGACTGAACTGAAGCTGACTGAGGCCCACTAAAGAGAAGGGAGATGTTTTACTTATTTTTGAACATGATGTTCTTTAAAAATATTTCTCTCACTCTCCAGTATGACAGACACGTAATAGTATCCTGAATTTTTTTAAACTCCTGTATTCTGAAAACAAATTATTATACAGCAGCTAATAAAATATTAATTGGGATCCGTTTCTATCTAAATAACCTAGAACAAAACAGAATGATGAAGCTACTTTTTAATACAGTCAGTGAAGTAAACATCAAACAGATGGTCATGGAAAATTAAAATAATTTCCTGTAAATGAAGGGAAATGTGAAATGAGGTTAATATAAACCTTTAATTCACTGACTGCTTTCTGGGACTTTGAGAAGCATTCCATTTAGCAATAATTCCACTTACGTGGCACACAGTCTGTTTTTTTCCCTCTGCTATTTGTTTTGCGGATATAAGTGGGTTACCAAGAATTCACCTTTAAGTATCCTGTGATAGGAACTGGGACCCCAGAGCTGAAGTTGCTCAGGGCCTTCAGTGTAACGGGGCTGAAGGCTTGAAACTCAGAGAGTGGCTGGGATCTCTCCAGGGACAGCAAGAGCAACCTGTTTTCTTCTTCTTTTAAAATTGAAGCATGGCTGATTTACATTATTATATTACCTTCAGATGTACAACATAGTGATTCAATACTTTTATAGACTATACTCCCTTTAAAGTTATTACAAAATAGTAGCT